AGGTATGAAGCTTCTAGTTCTCTGTTCTATGGCATATATACAGGTTATCTTCAGCAATTGGGCCTTACCATCAGGTTGTGGAGAGTAATCAATAGCCAGACAATAGCCTGTGAGGTTTGAGGATTTCCATGGGGCCCCTTTGACAACTCACCAAAATGGAACCTATTCCTGGGACTAGTGGTTTTACTTGGTGCTAGAAGATATCTAGTCGGGCCATTGTCTTTCGTACTATTTAGTGACTCCATTTATATTATTTTCAAATATGTAAATATGTATATATTTTAGGAAGCTTCTAAAGTAGGAGGTGTCCATATGGTTTTCAAATGGGCTTTAGTGTTTGTTGTCCCTCCCACATTCTCCCCCTCACCCTTCACTCCCATCCCCCTTCCTATCTAAGCCTCCTAGTCTAGTTCCCCATTTGTCTCTCCATTACACTATATCCTATGTCCCCTTCCCTGGGAGATCCTCTCCTCCCATCTAGTCCCTTACTAGGTACATAAACTCTGTGGTTATTCAGATTAGAGCACATATATTGAAAGTTTAAAGGCTAACATTCATATCTAAGAAAAAACATACAAAATCAGTACTTTGGGGTCTGGGTTGTCTCACTTGGAGTGATTTATTTCTAGTTCTATTTGTTTACCTTCAGATTCATAATTTCAAATGTTCTTAACAGCTAAATTATATATTTTCATTCAATTCTAAAGAGATTTTAATTTCCTTCTTGATTTATGTATTGACTCATTTTTCACTCAGTAGTGAGTAGTCAGTTTCCATGAGTTTATAAGCTTTCTGTTGCTTCTATTGTTGTTGAAATCTAGCTTTAATCCATGGGAGTCATATAGGATGCAGGGTATTATTTCACCATGGTTCACAGGGTACTACGTGGATTGAGACCCATCATGTTCCCAGACACATCTCCTGTCACTACTGTTCCCTTAGTGCCCACCTCTAATGACACTAGACTGATCCTACAGAATGCTAGCTGCAGGGTCTCTCCATGGGCATTTCCTGTTATGTTCTTGCCCTTAGTACCTTCATGGATAGCTCCCACTTCCCTTTAAGGCCTTATTCAAATGTGCCCCCTCTTATCTACGTTATCGTAACTACCCAGTTCTAAACTGAAATCTTCATTCTCCTCCATGTTTTTTTTCTCTATGGCAATATCACTATGTCCTGAGAAAGCATCTCTCTTGGACATCAAGTACAGAAGCATGACTGAGCAAGAGTCTGGTTTGCTGTTCTCTGAACTCCACCTCTGGGTTTGTATCTAAGCCATGTATCCCAGGGGCTACTCCCAGCCAGTCACTGAATATGACAAGAATACTTATATGAGCTCATTCGTATAGGACACAGGAGCACTTCTGAGAGTTGCCCTTGGCTCCAGGACTCCCAAGTGTCATGGTCAATGTCCCTTGAACAGCACTGCAGAACCAGCTGCTCTCACACAACTTTCCCTCTCCCTTCCACTCAGATTCCCAAACTGATCCAGTTTCAGCCTTTTCTGCTTCTCTCTCAATTTTCTCTCATATATTCATTTCTCCTAATAAAGTTTTGTCCACATAGCCTTTCTTGGCATTTGTTTCTCAGAGGACCCAGAATAATACAATCATATTGCATATTATATTTGTCTTCTATTGCTTACTAGAAGATAAATTTCTAGAGAACAAAAATTTTGTTTAAGAATCCCAAACACCTAGCACAGTAGTACCTGAGGGGCATTCAGTAAATGAATGCAGGGTAAATGACTGAAAAGTGCTTGAAAAAATTATCAGTTTTAACAATATTAATTGTGTGAATGAATACACACACAATACCTATCAGCTCTCAAAATTCTGCTCTGTCCTCGATTCCTCTTGCTTGCCTCCCTCACCCAAGAAGAAAAATCTTTGTGTTTTCCTACAGCAGAAATGAGATTTGGGTGATAAATTGATTTTAGGAAATGATCCACATTATTAATTGGGTGGCTGCCCATTAGTTTTGGCAAGCAAATGCAGAATTCTGACTTGAGATATTCATCATGGCTGCTTTCTTGTCCTTAACATCAGTCAGGATCTACAGTTAAATAAGCAAAATCAAAAGCTTTGAAGATTTAATCTTTTTTGTTGGTTTAAACATCCATCCAATAGTAATCAAATTTGATCCCTGCCTAATTCAGCCTCTTATTCTCTACTCCTGTCTCTCAAGAATAGAAGAAAAAAGACCAATTTTTCTCCAGTACGGTCTCAGATTCTCTTTGAAATATACTTTTAATCACGTGTATGGGAGGGGGTGCACAGGAGTAGGTGCCTGCAGAGGCCCTGAGTCAGATCTCCTGGATCTGAGGTTACAGGTGAGAATGAGCCCCTGACATGAATGCTGGGAATCAAACTCAGGTCCTCCAGAAGAGGAAGACATGTTCTTAACCACTGAGCAATCTTTTCAGGCTCCAGACTCCTTCGTTTTGATTTGATTTTTTTTTTTAAGTTAGCTTACAAAGCAGTGTATTTCCAGACAGGATCTTCAGATACAGTTCATTTTGACCTGTTCCTCACCTCCTCCACTCCCTGCCCCCAGTTCTCTGCCTATCCTTCCTTGCAGAACCTTTCTTCTGTCGTCCTCTCCTGTTCCACTTAGCTTTATTTTCTTCCTCATCCCCCTTTCTTTTTTTTTTTTTTCTAGTCACATGGGACCTGTGGTGGTTTCAGTAAAAATGACCTCCACAGGCTCACAACATTTGAATGCTTGATCTGAAGTTAGTGGAACTGTTTTAGGAAGGACTAGGAGGTGTGGCCTTGCTGGAGGAGGTGTGTCACTGGGGATGGGCTTTGAGGTTTCTATCTGCCTACAGTCTGGGAACAAGATGTAAGCTCTCAGCTACTACTCCAGCACCATGCCTGCCTGCTGCCATGCTCCCCACCATGATGGTCATGAACTCGCCCTCTGAAACTGTAAGCCAGCCCCCAATTAAGTCGTTTATAAGTTGCCTTGGCTTTGGTGTCTCTTCTCAGCAATTGAACAGTCACTAGGATGGGACTCTTCAGTTTCCTCATGCTTACCCATATCACCTCTCATCCGTATACACATAGTTAGCAGTCAGAGGCCACAATTCCCAGGTGAGAGAAAGAATATACAGTATTTGTCTTTCTGAGCTGGGTTACTTTACGTAAAATAATGTTTTCCAGTCCCATCCATTTTCCTACAAATTTCATTACTTTGGTTTTCTTTATGGCTGAATAAAATGCTATATTTTCTTTATCCATTCATCTGTTGATAGATGTGTAGACTTGTTCTATGTCTTTGATACTATGAAAGGAATTGCACTAAGTATGGATATACAAGTGTCTTAATAGTAGGATACGGCATCCTTTGGGTATATCCCCAGGAGTGGAATAACTGGATCATATAGTAGTTCTATTTTTATTTTTTTTAACAACCCTCCACACTGATTTCTACAGTGGCTGCACTAGTTTACACCACCAACAACCACATATGTGTTCCTCTTCTGTACATCTTTACCATATTGGTTGTCACTTGCTTTCTTGATGGTGGCCATCCTCACTGCTTCAGTTTGTATTTCTGGTGGCAAGAAATGTAGAATGCTTTTTCAAATACTTGTTGTTCATTTATATATTTTTTTAATTGTATTTCTTCTGTTTCCATCATCAGCCCATTTATCGACTGTCAACTTTATTTCTTTGGTGTCTAATTTTTGCTGTTCTTTATATATTATAGATATTAAACCCCTTGTGATTTCCGATTCTTGAAAGTGATGAGCTTCCTGTGCAGGTGACTGACTCAGGGTGTGGTCTCTGTGGCTGGGAAGATCAGAATAAAAGTATGAAGCAATCTTGTTTCACTAAGTTCTGTAAATTTCCCCAGAACAGAATAACGTAGGGTTCTGCCTAAAGTTTTCCATCTAGCTGTTAAGTATCCTGGGAGCTTGGTGGAGGAGGATGCTGGGGTCCAGCTCCCTCATAAAGATTGACTTACCCTTCAGCCTGTGTCTCTCCTTGCCCTGTGTCCTTGGGCATTGCTTAATGGACGTCTGTTACAAAGTCAGACAGCTGACATTCCCATCCCGGCTTTGCTACTCATTAGCCATGCGGCAAATGATCCCCCTGAACCTGTTGCCTCATTTTAAAATAGGAATAATAGCACCTATCACTCAACACCTCGCAGATAAATAAGATGAAATGCTTTTGTGTACGGACAAATATTTGCTACTACTATGACAAATATCAGAAAGACAAAGAAATGTAAGCCGTGTGTTCATTCAAGGGCCAGGCTAGTCTGTTTAACCTCTCCGGCTGAATGGTGATATTAAGGGACTGATAGCATCCAAACACATAATAACGTGGTGGACGGTAATTGGGGTTCACGACTTCAAATGCACCTGAAGAACAGGGAGGGAAAAGAAAACAAAAGTCGATTGCAGGGCTTCCTGGTCTCTGCTTTGACCTGAGTTTCACCGGGCCTCGCTGCCTTCCTCTCAAGGGTAGGAACTGTCCGCTGAGGGCTACAGAATGCCTGGTCACACTCTCGGGCTCACTCCTTTTCCTTGCGTAACTGCTGAGGTCAAAAACGGGCACCCTCCCGAAATTGAAGAGTGTCATTTCTGAATGGGATCCAAACACAGGAGCTGCGTTCCCCCAGACATCCCAGGATGGCACCAAGAACTCCCAGGGAGCCAGCTTTTTAATATCAGCGCCTTAACACCTTTGATTTTTTTCCCCAGACCTAAGATTCCAAGGTCTGTGACAGAAGGTCGGAGGTGGGACTTTGGGAGGGGAGCGGAGATTAATGTCAATATTCTACTGTAGGAGTGCTTAGGTAACTATAGGAGCCATCATTATTATCTAAAGCCAAGCAGGGGGAGGATCACAGACAAATGACTTAGCACTTATGCCCCAGTCTCTGTCTCTGTCTCTGTCTCTCTGTCGTGTTCTCTCTCTCTCTCTCTCTCTCTCTCTCTCTCTCTCTCTCTCTCTCTCTCTCTCTCTCTCTCTCAGCTCTGCGGCCAGAGTGAGGTCCACTAAGTGAGGTTACCTTAAGCACACAGTCTCACAACACACCGGGTGTGCTGCTGCTGCGGGAACCCTGGCTGCCCTGACACTCTGCACGCAGGCTCGCAGGCACGCACGCACGGCAGTTCCCTGTGCCGCTCCTGGAAAATAATGACTTGGATAAGGAACAGTTAATAGGAAAATGTGCCTCCTCGCTAACCGTGCACAGAACAACAAAGAGCTGGCAGCCCCTGAAGGAAAAGGGCTTGTGCGGCTGCCGTTCAAACTTGTCAGTCAACTGGTGCCAGCAGCCTCAGCGTCTGCCTCCCCAGCACACCCTCATTACATGTGTCTGTCTGGCCTCATCTGTGCCTCGGCTCAGAGGCGCTCCTGACAAGCCGGGATTCTCGTCCTCTCTCCCGGGTGCAAAGAGCAGATTTCTCTCCGTGTCTCTCCTGTCACCTCTAGCTCCTCTCCCCCAAGGAGGCACCTTGATTTATGGTAGCTTGGGACTTCCTTCGGCGGCTGCCTGTCCTTGACTCCTAGAATGGAAGAAGCTGAGCTGGTGAAGGGAAGACTCCAGGCCATCACAGTAAGTCTGCGCAGAGTTTTAAGTCATTAAGGTGGCCGCTTAGATGAGCGGCACCGTGGCTAGCTGTCCTTGTCTCCCAGTCAGTCGTCACAAGTGGGAAAACAGAACTGCCAGCCTTCATGGACTCCAGTCTGTTTCTCTTAACCCTTGGGACCCACTGTGACACGGGGGCTTCAGAACCTGAGATCAAGGACAATGTTTCTGGATTTTATAAATGGTGTTTGCGTTTTAAACAGCCGTCGAGAGTTTTTGGTTTTGTTTTTAAGTACTTTGTAAAGTCTCACTCACCTTCTGTGTAATATTAGAAATGTGGTTTTTTTTTCCTTCAAGTTCCTTCTCGCTGACAAAAATTTTTAATAGCCACCCAATCATGAAACATTTTAAAGCAGTGAATATAGCCCCCAAAAGTTAATTTTTTAAAAAAGGAGGATCCCAAAAGGAAGAAAATCTGAAACTTTTTTATTCTTAGTGTCATAGCATATTCCAGAAAACCTAACCAAATTAAAGCAAAGCTTGGCATATACTCAAGCGAAGTGTTAAACGGGAGAAAACTCGGGAAGCCACGCACGAGAATAATTCTCAGAGATCAGTTTCCAGAGTAGACATAGCCCAGATAGGATCCCGATAAAGGAATGCCATGCATGAGATGGATTGGAAAATATTTCCCTAATGCCAGGAAGAAAAGTAGCACATTTTATGTTTATTCTGGGAAAGAGTCAAAGCAAGAAAAGGATTGCTTGTCTTAAATGATACCATTCTTTTGCTTTTGCTTCCCGAGTGTTGTATCTGGCAGTAACCTGGAAATCCCGGCCCAGTCATCTGTCATCATTAGCTGTAACTTGGGGTGGCATTTTGGAGGAAAAGCAGCTTTGCAAATCCACACCCCTGTGTGTCACATTTTCTGCCCCTGAAAAGTGACTGTCAAAAAGAAGTAAATACTTTTTCAAAACTGATACTGAATCATGGAAGGCGTGAGGTCATTCCTCCTTGCTCTTCAAATTCTCATCTTAATTAAGCTAACTCTAATTTAGGATTTTTTTTTTTTTTTACTAAGTGAAGGTAGTGGGTTGGTTTTTTTTTTCTACCCAGAAAGTACTCAATAGATAAAAATATTTTCTTCACCAGTGAAATAATGAAGCCAAGAGTCCACAGATAAGATTGGGCACTTTTTTATAGAGAGTACTTTTTAATTTCTGAGTTCTAATCACTGTATTTTTCTTTTCACCAAAAAGCCTTGGCCTGGCTTTTTGTTTGGTTGGTTTTGTTGTAAAATCCAGCCCGAGTCTCAGCTGTCCCCCTTGAAGGGACAGGAACTCCACTGCACTCTGTTGTTCTTGGCATGGCCCTTTGACGTTACAGCTGTTGTCTGAAGGTTACTTCACTGAACCGAGTTGTTCAGAACTAGGCTGCTCTCCCGCCCCCAGCCACCCCCAAAATTCCAACTCCTAAATAACCAGATGAAGCCAAGACTCAATGAAGCACACCTCTTCTTCTGTGCTTCTGCTATTGAAGTGGGGAACGTCTCGTTTTAAAGTCTTGTTACATATGGTTTGTAGCTTAGACCATTTGGTGAAGTAGCCCATGGTCCGAACAGATGGCCGCATACAGTTATTCAGAGGGCCTAGGAATTTTCACTGAGGGCTCACATGCAAACAGTGATAGAAGGCATGTCAAAATGCCTTAAAAAGGAATTGAGAGGGTTAATTCCTGAATATAGAGCTATTTTTATTATTAAAAATAATAAACTTTTTTAATGGTCCTGTGAGCCTAAACACATCCCATTAGAGTTAATTAAGTCTTTGAAGTAAGGTCACAAAATTCAGCTTGAAAGTAAAATTCTTGCTTAAAGCCTGTAGGGCAAAAACTGGCCAAAGTTTATAGGAGCGACTTTCCATTAGCCTCCACCGCACAGGGCTCGGTCCCATCTGTCACCACCTAGAGGGCAAAGGAAGCACTGCTGTGTCCATGGAGACAGCACAGTTGCCCTCCTCCTGGGCACCCTGGGAAATGCCAGCTCTCTCCACCCTGGCCTTGCCCAGGAAGCCGCCCCAGCTATTCTTCCTACCTAGGAAAAGAAAACACACAGTACGCAGGGAACTTTCAAGAATTATCTCATTTCTGAAAGGTACTAAAATTATGGGGCCCTGATCCAGACTGAAACTCAGAGATCACCATTCAGCCACTCTCCCAGACTGGAATACTTTTTTAGATGCTCCAATGACTGCACCGGAAGCACTTTCCTAGGCAGCAAGACACAGCAACACACAGACTTCATTTTGTGAGAAGAGAAAACAAAATCAAACTTTGACGCCGCAAAGCAGTTTGATTTTTTTTTTATTAAATTATGATCCTCTAACTCCTAGCAATAAATAAAATAAGCTTCATTATTATCCTTCCTCCATAGGGTTTCAAGTGACTAAAAAGGCATTCTTCTTACTGTGAATAACTGAACAAGAGCTCATATAATTTGGCTGAACCAAGTGACAATATTGCTTTAAAAATACTTTAACCCTGTGACGATGCCATTCATTTCTCACACCAGTAAATTTAATTTTAAGATTACTCGTGAATTTCCTCAAAGATTTAAAAACAGTGAAGGCCGAGTTATGGAAGTACTCGGGAAGAGCTGTTGAAAGGCAGGCCTTTCGGTCTGGATGCTCGAAACAGAATCTCTTATTTAGTCACCCTCACATTCCGCCTTCACTGCTCTACCCTGTAGCAATTCTTCATTTGCTAAATTGACGAACAAAATACTCGTTAGTTAACGAGTTCCATTTCCAACTGTAATTTGAAAACAGGGCAACTTTACACTGACTAAATATTATACTTTGAACCCCAAAAGTTTCTTGACTATTTTCAAGTTAGTACACATTTAACAAATAACTGATTTTTTATACAGACAAAGAGCTGTTGACATAGACTTTTAATTACCCCCCCCTTTTTTTTTAATGAGGTCCCACTGTGTAGCCCCAGGTAGCTTGGAATTCACCATGTGGACTAGGCTGGCCTTGAACTCACAGAGATCTGCCTGCTTCGGCCTCCAAAGTGCTATGATTAAAGGTGTGAGCCAATGCACTCAACTTAAGATTGATATTTAGTGTTACTGGAAATGGTGATACCAGTTTCTCTAGTACTTTGAGGGATGTGCAGGATGGCATGTCACACTGATGACAACAAGATCTCTACACAGCTACTCCCCGGAAGTAAACACAGTTCAAAGTGAAGAACAGAAAAATATCCCAGACAGGATCCTAGAGAACAGAGAGATCCCCCTCAGATGAGTAAAATCCAGTCAGTCCATATGCACTTCCACGGGGAATATACTGCCGTATCTTATTTCCTCTGGGAATGTTAGAAAACACAGCACCTAACATTGCCCTACTCAAATGGAAATACTGGATCTTACACATCTGGAGATTATAGACTTGGGAACACAGGGTATTTCTGGACAATGTTCTGATGAATTCTGAGAACTAATGTCAATTTGCAGAGAACAGACCCAATTAGGAGAGGAGAGGTAATGAGTTAGCTAGTACATTTATTCTCACTAAAAGGCTGAACTTTGATGGTTAAGGATGTGCCTATCAACTCATTCACACCTTTATTCAAAGGCTGATCATCCACTGAGTCTTTTGCATTTCATTTGAAGTTTTCTGAGGAGAAATTGGGGGCATCAGGTGTGAAGATGGGAAAGGGCTGCAGTGGTGAGTGGAGTGATAGAGTGGTGTGATTTGGGAGGGCGGGCCTCCCAAAAGGGTTAACAGCTGGGCACAGACGTGAAGGAGGTAGGCTCTCTCAAAAGTTAAGCCACAGTAGGAATCTGAAGCCACAGCACCTGCCTAGGCCTCCCTCTGTTTGGCAAGGGCCCACAGAAAGTCCTGGCATTGCAATCTGAGCAACGGAGCCAGATTTGCAGGCCAAAGCTGCCCATGACGCAAAATACTTAGGCTCTCTCACATCTCCCTGGGTCCACTCCCGATTTCTTTCCACTCCCTGTGAATATTTTCTTGACTTAAAGGAATTTAGGAGGCAAGAAGTTCTTGGATAGGGCAGAGGAGATCTCCCCGTTTTAAGAAAGCATATTAAAATCATAACATAATACTAATTCTCGATAGCTCTTCAGTTCACAGTCCCTGTCCCTGGGCACTCCCACTCGCCGTGTGCTCTGCCTCTGTCAATATTTGAGATCATCTAACAGTCAGTAAAGTCACTGATCACCCAGAAGCAGGACGTCCTGTTGAAATGCAAGGGTCCCAGCACACAACCAAAATGCAAAAAGGACCCAATATTTGAGATGTCAAGGTAATAACACCAAAATATTAGAATCAGAGCTGGCCCTTTCTCAGCACACTGGCTCTTGTGACTTCACAGGTCACTTGGCCTAAAGAGACCGTGTGCCAGAATGTTCAAACAATGAAGCTCTGCCGTTTTCCACCGTGCTGTACCAAGATTACATGTTTCTTCCAGAGAAGGAGAGGTTTCTCCAAACAAATGTGCCAGGCCACCGTTCTCTGCCAAACATAACAGCCCACCCATAAAGGAGGTCATGTGATGAGGTACAATAATTTTGATAGCTCATTAAGGAAACTTCTTTTTGATAGTGGGAAGGTTTTTCCAATGTGCTGCCGAGTGATAAAGCTGCTCTGCTAGATCCTCTACTGACAGAATTTTCTGGACCTCACTGGGTGATCTAAAATAAAATACACTTCTTTAGAAAACTATGATCCAAACAAACCCTAGTCTCAATGTTTAACCACAGTCTAAACAAATGTTGCCTGCTTCAATGTTAATATTGAGACAGAATTTCCACTTTCCCATCTCTAAGTCTCAAAGCATACTCATCATGTGCATCCCCGTGGGGCAAGAAGTATCCTTGGTGGATTCCACTGACCCCGTTTTCCAACACAGATTATTCCTCTACTCCTGTAGTCTCCGCCCACCTTCCTCAGTCCGCTATGACTAGAAGAGGGCAAAGAGACTCTGCTGCCATTTCAGAAGCGCTTGACACTGTTTTACGCAGGTTTGAAGGACTCCAAGTCAACTTTCATAGTGCACACTGTTCCAGCCTCTACCTCCTCCCATCTTACAGCCATCACTCATCTCCCTCCTGCCAGGACTTATGAAAGCCAGGATATCTTTGCATCTTTCAGCTACCCCGGCAATGAGCTCAGCAGTAGCTGATACACAATAATAATAATAATAATAATAATAATAATAACAATAATAATAAGTTAATGAGTGAGCAAATACAATCAGGCTGTGAAGCAGAAGGAGCGAGCTGATGATCATGTAGCCCACTAATAGATTTTTTTTCAACTGAAAACCCAGCCAATTTTACCATAGCCTCTTAATAATTCAGAGACTTGTTTGTGCTTGTTAATTGTCCATATTTGTGTTGTCACTCTTCATTAGAATAAACAAGGTTAGACAGAAGTGAAAGAACAGAGCCTGAACTGTTAGTGTCCTGTAAGGTTAGAAAAGGAGGAGAGATTTGCAGAGTGAAATGATGTTAAGGAAAGTGGAGCTTTTGAACTTATTCTGTAAAGAGTAGTGACAATCCGAACCCCTACTGCCATGGCTGACCTAAAAATCAGGGTACTGGGGCTGGAGAGAAGGCTCAGCAGTTAGGAGCACTGGCTGATCTTCCAGAGGACCTGGGTTAGATTCCCAGCATCCACATGGTGACTCACAACCATCTTTAACCCCCTTTCCAGGGGATCCAATGCCCTCTTCTAGCTCCTACAGACTCTACACACATGATACACAGACATACATGGGAGCAAAACACCCACACACATTTTTAAAGATACAAAAAAACATAAATACAAATGAAATAAAAATCAACCTATGTTATTTTTAAAATAAAAGAAATTGCTGGGCGGTGGTGGCGCATGCCTTTAATACCAGCACTCCAGAGGCAGAGGCAGGTGGATCTCTGTGAGTTCAAGGCCAGCCTGGGCTACAGAGTGAGTTCCAGGAAAGGCGTAAAGCTACACAGAGAAACCCTGTCTCAAAAAGAAAGAAAGAAAGAAAGAAAGAAAGAAAGAAAGAAAGAAAGAAAGAAAGAAAGAAAGAAAGAAAGAAAGAAAGAAAGAAAGAAA